CACATCGTGAACCTTACCGAGTTTTGCGAACCCGAGATAGAACCGTCTCTTTTAGAAACTTAAACCGAACTAAATTTTCTGCCTAAAAACAGCCCCGAGGTTCCAACATTACAGGGTTGAAGGGTGGTGCATTCGGTACTTCGCCAATAGGATCATCCCTAAAGGTACTGTTCTTTGCTTGATTGGTCAGCTTGACACCGCCCTTCAAACCAAATTGGTTCGACCTCCCGTTGTTAGATGGCAGTACTATGACCATTTTACGTATTTAATCCTAGTTTACGTCTAGATACGTGCTTTCCTAAAGTTCCCAGATCCTTTACAAACATCCGGTGATAGTTACATGTTATCAAGGGTGGTTATTGGTTTTACAATGTCCCAGCGTTTTTATCTAAGGTCTATCTTTACAATTTTCTGTTTACTTCTAAGTTCTACAGTTTATTTGCTTTGCCCTTCTATAAGTTTGGGAATTTAAAAATAGTCACGTTTGAAAGATGTTTGTTTTATTACTTCCTGCTAAAAGACCCTCTCCCGAAACTAATAACCGAAAACATCGACTTGAACGTAAAGGACATAGGAAATAATCTGTTAATAATATAAATAATAATATAAAGTAAATAATCTGTTACACCCTAAAATATAAATTTTTAATTTCAGGACGTCTTGCTAACTATGTTATCATCAACACCATCAGTAGTTTATCAAAACTATATTTAATTAATAAACATTTTAATCATTTTAAAATTATGTTTAATCATCTGATGATGACGCCAACATAGTGAGCAAAATGTGCTTCTAAAATTTTGGTGTACCTATTTTTGTAAATTTCTAATTTTCTGTTGTATCGCTAAAGATTCCGACCTAAATTGCTTTGTGTCTAAATATCTTAAAGATTTAAATATATTTATAACAATTTGACCAATATAACATACATTTTGACCAACATGATATACAGGGATATTTTTTTAATCTGATAAGAATTAAGATATAAAATAGGAATTTTGACAATTTTCGATAATATGAAATATTAATTAAAAAATAATTAGAACAAATCCTGTGAAAAAAACAACTGTATACACCACTGGTTTTAGTGTTATTTTTAAGTACGAGTACTTCACAACTTGTGTGCAATAATGCTGTAAAATTAATAAATATAATATAATATAATAAATTTTGTGAACAGTGACGCAACTAGGAGGGGCTTAATCATTGCTTAATCCCCCCAGGTGACTGGTGCTGGTAATATAAAAGTGGTTTTAACCTCAAATCAATATTATAGTGACCTAAGCTCCCCTAAAAGACTTAAGCCCCCTAAAAGTCTGTGTCTAGTTGCGCCCCTGTTTGTGAATTGGAAAAGTATACCTATATGTAAAGTAATCATTTTTGCGATATCATTTATTATATTTATTACCAAAATAAAATTTCTTTATTATTTATTGTATTTATTATCCTATAATAATATTAAAATTTGATTTATTTAAGGAAAAATAAATTAAAATACTGCTCTGCTTAGAGGTACACATTAAATAACATATGAATAGACTATAGCTAGGTATTGGAATAAATATTATCTGCATGCCTGTGCTCATTTGGCAACAACTTAGGTTCAATTGATGAGTCAATGAAAAATTTACCTTAAATTTACCTGCTCTCAAAATAGTGGGATTTATGGCATATTTTTAGAATTCTAAATAATTTATTTTAATATTTCTTAATCTATACTAATATACAGGGTGTCCCAGAAATAAGTGCAAGTATTTTAAGGGGTGGTAGACCTGGTCAAAAGAAACGTTTTTTCTCTTTAACGTTTTTCAAGTAAGTCCAAAATAAACGAGTTATTTTACTGTAAAAATTTAAACAAAAAATGCTTTTTTGCTTAAATTTTGAGAACCACTGGATCTTTACTGGTTTTTGTTTCATGTAAATTTAATCTACTATCTATGTTGCCATATCATCAAGAAATTATGTTTTTTTAACTTAAAACAAAAAAAATGTTCAAATTTTTTTCCAAAAAATTCCATATTTTCAATTTTTTTTTCCGCAAAGAAACCTCATAGGAGTTTTTTTTTAAAAAACCTCAACTGACGCCGAAATATACTACCAGTTAATATACTTGTACTTATTTCTGCGACACCCTGTATAAAATCCTTAAGTGTTACTCACTGATTAATCACGATCCTGCTCAAACCACTCAACGTAAGAAACTCAATTTTGGCATACATGTTGATTCTAGGGTGTAGAGGTTCGATAAGAAGGGATTTTTCGAAATTCCAGTTCCAAGGGGGTGAAACCACCCCTAAAATATTACAATATTTTTTATTTAAAAAACGGTCCAGTTTCCGAAAAAACGTTTAAACACTTATATTTTATTTTGTTTTTTTGTATATTTAAGATTTTTTAAAAATGTATACAGGGTGTTTCGAAAAATCTGGTCATTGATTAATCACGATACTGTTTAAAGCGCTTGACGTAAAATGCTGATTTTTGGAAAACTTGCTTTGCTTTATCATCACGATTATAAATGATTAATTCGACGCAAACGAAGTCGCGGGTACACGCTAGTTCCTTAATAAAATTACTGTAATATATATGTAAAAAAAAGATTATCCTATAACCATCATTTCACGAAAATAAAACTAGAACTATATTTTTTATCTTTTTATTTATTCTAAAAATAAATTACAATAAATATCTATAACATAAAAATTGTATAGATTAAATATACAATACCTAACTTAATAGGAAAATGAGAAAGTCTGCTAACAATCTAAAGTGATAAATACAGTAAAACATCCGTGAAAATATTTGCACAAATAAACAAACAATTCAGATAAAACTAGTAAGCAATACGAGAATGACATAATATAAGACCACAAAATCTGTGAACTGGGTAAAAAATTTCAAATTATCAATTATCTGTCAATATCAAAGTTGTCTACTTATTTGAAAAATTTAGTAATTTAAAAAAAAACTTTGGATTGAACCAGCACTGATGTATATAATAAATTTTGTAAAAATAAGATGGTAATAACACTTATGCAGTCCATTTTTTTTTGTATCATTACAAATATCATGTCATTCACATAATGCATAACAATAAAATCATTAAGTAAAGCTCATCAAATGTAGGATTATATGCAAATTTATTAAAGCAATACTTGATATTGGCCAGGGTTATTATTTTTCAAAAGTTATCGACAGAAAGATTGATTTTTATTTGGGACACCCTGTATATTTTTAAATAACTGAAAAGAACTTAAAATTACCTTTCCAAAAATATAGCACACTTGATATTTTGTTATAAAAATACAGAATTTTTAAAAGTTCGCCCCTTTTAACTAGTTGGAACCCTTATGGATGATGAAACTGCGCCTAATGAAACTAGAAAACATATTTTTTCAGCAAGACGAGGCACCGCTTCAGAACGCTTAATTTATCAGCAAATTTTTGCAGCCAATTTCGAGAATACTTGAATAGCTAACCCTAGTTGGCCGTCGAGGCCGCCGGACTTACTGCCCATGGATTTTTATATCTTTGCGGAAGAATAAAGGTTCTTATTTTTAATTTGCCCGTATAATCTAGACAAGAATTAGAAAATTAGAAGTACTTAGAGGTTACGCGAGAGTATCTTTCAAGGGGCGTCCAGACCAGATGAGCGAGCAGTAACGAGCGCGAGCAAACATTTATTCAAATTCGCTCGTGATTTCTGCTGCTCTCGAGCACATGATCAGCTTCCGTCCAGACCTAGCGATTATTTGTATGTTCGGCATTGATCGGTGTGTGGCACTTCATCTTCATAATGTCAGAAAAAATTATTGCTTGTGCGTCTTTCATTGTAGTTTATAAATTGTTGAAACGTCAAAAGAGAAAACGACTGCAGAGGAGATAACTCTTTTTAAAAATCGAGTTTCTCATGGTGGTAACAATTTACTAAACGATGTTGAAGCAGAAGATTCTGGAAAATTTAAGAACTTTTGTCAGATGTCACTTACAGATTTTAATACCTTATTAGATTAATTGACATGAAAATAATGAAAAATGATACCAATTACCGAAAAGCAATTTCACATAGAGAAAGGCTAGCTATAACCTTACAGGTCTTGGCGATTTTTGTACTACTCTATTAGTTCTAAAACAACTTCATTCGGCCATTCCATTTTTGATATTCGATCGCTAACGTGGTAAACAAAATCCCGTCCAAACCGAACATGCAATAGCGCGAATTTTCTTTGATGTACCGAGCAAGAAATCATTCGCTCGCTCGCAGAGCCGTCCACACCAGTTAAGCGCTCCCATAGAACATACCCGAATTCTTGCTCGCTCATGCTCGCTCATCCGGTCTGGACGCCCCTTCGCGTCCACTTGGTTAATGAATTTCACGAGCAATGTTCAAAAACGGCCCCGTCTGTCCATAACAGAAAACGGTCTACATGTCGAAAACCTATAGCAAAATCTGATGTCCTGGTTTGCCATTAATTTTTATTGTTATTAGATATAGTTTAAATGTGTTTTGATGTTGATAAATATAGTTTAAATTGTTATAAAATTCTACATCTGTCATTGCAAATATTATTTTCGTTTTAATTGCTGCTCACGGCTAGAATTTTTTTGCATTACAACCGGCGCCGTTCGAATCCTACTTATTCAAACTGAGCGAATTTTTAAGAACTCTTTACATTGAAGGGGAATCAAGCAAAATATCAAGTATGCTATATTTTTGGAAAGATAATTTTTAATTATATTCAATGAATTAAAAATATACAGGGTGTCCCATATAAAAAATCAAATTTTCTGTTAATAATTCTTAAATTATTAATTTTAAAAAAATTATACTTAAACCCTTAAATTCTAAGTAAAAAGGTGGTTTGGAAATGTTTTCATGAAAATACAAAATTTTCCATAGCAGAAAAGTGAGACCGATTTGTTAAAAATGCACATTTTTGAAAAACACAAACTCCGAAACGGTAACAAACATCGATGTGCGGTTTTCACCATCATGTTTTTGATAAAAATTGAGCTCCAGACACCGATATTAGTTTTCTATCCCCTATAGAAAAATATGTTTCCCTTTAAAAGCGCCCAATTTGGCCCACCCTGTACATGCGATGATTTATTGTATTTAGAAATTCTTTTCCACCAAATGCGGTCTAACTCTGTCGTTTACCTATATTTGATGAGTTGCGCCTATTTATTCATAACGTATGATTTCCACAAATTGTGAAAAATAGTGTTTTAGAAAATATTTAAATATTTTTTACAATATTGTAAAATAAATGTAACATATTCTTGGAAATACGACTACTGTAATGTGATGTTCTTTCTTTCTTATTGTAGGATAATTCATTCTATGAAGGATAAAACTTTCATAAACTGGCATTTACCTTTAAAACATTTCTTAGTTTTATTCTTCAAATTAGATTTTAAGCAAAATGGAATTTTAATTTTTATTTTTATGTATATAAAATAAATATATAATAATACTCTTGTTGCTCAATCAAATGTATTGAGGCATACATATGACAAAATAACTAAAAGTATTGCTATACTAGATCCAAAGTTTTTTTTTAGAGAAAAATGACAACATGCATTTCTAACAGCATCATTTTTAATAAGAAAACTAAAAATAAACATAGCAAATTATACGAAGCTATTATAGCCACATCGCATCTGCTATTATTGCTTAATACCCATTAGATCTAAAGTAAGTCTTAACACTTCTAAGTGAGATATCAGTTAAAGCTCGTTTGCTCGAAGGACCAACAAATATTATCCGAAATAATTGAACACATTAGAGAGACCGTTTGTTATTGTTGAGAATATGCCGCTTTCCTGGGCTACCGGTTGATGGGGTCCCTGTGCAAATTGTCCTCTGTTGTAGTTGGTCTGTGCCGGATGTCTGTAGAAGTGACTGTCCTGTCTCTGAAAAATTAACATCTTTATTAGGAATTTCAAATTCAAAGAAATATACCCATAATACCGTAAATATATTTTTAAAAAACGCAACGGAAAATTTTTTCGTGAAGTTTAAAGTGTTATATTATTTTATTTTAAGTCCTATTTTCATGATTTTTTTAGCAAACTATATATAAATCTATCAACATTAATTCATAAACTCAGTTTTTTTAAACTCGAGTATTTGGCTTATTATACAGTGTTAATTGAAGGGTTGTTTTTTTTAACCTAACTTTAAATAAATAAATAAATGCCTTTATTGTCAAAAATTTTTTCTTTTTGTAGACAAAGGTAAACTAACAAACAAAGTAGAAAAAAAACAAGGTACACAAACAAACAAACAAAAGATAATACAAAACATTATATAAATAATATTGTCAGTCTTATTGTTAAAATAAACATTTATAAATGTTTACAATGTCAAAGAACAAAAAATTTAAAATAATATGCAAAAATATTTAGCCAGTTTATAGCAAAATATCAATGACCTCTAAATAAATTAATTTCGATGTCATTAGTAAATACAGCAATAGCAAACACTTTAAAACACCCTGTGCAACAATTTCGTGAGTAACTTTTCCTACAACATTATTTTTCGATCAGAACCTAGTGATGGATTGTTATTTAACTATCTGTTATTTTATAACAATTATTTAGAAATAACATAACACAACCGTTACTACTTCTAAAAAATAACAGATATAAAATAACGACACGTAGAGATCGGCCGCTCGTGAAACGAAAAACGACGTCGGCGCTCTACACCGCCACGAAATTCTATGCTGCTGGAAGCAATTCCAAAAAACAACTAGTATGGCTGGAAAACATGTTATTTCGTCAACCATCGATACAGGCGGCGGTCGAGACAATCGGAGTGGGAAAGGAACGCTGCTGCATCGGTCGATTGTCGATGGAGGTTCGACAGGTGGGAGAATAACGCATCAGTTGTTTTAGATACATTGTTTTTCAACCTGTTACGAGCATAACAGGCGGAGGTCGAGATATTATAGCGCTGTATGTCTCAGTACGTTATTAAGTTTCAATATTTAGGTATTTATTTATTCTGAAAAATTTTCAGAATAATATTTTAAGATTCTTTAAAAATGTATACAGGGTGTTTTGAAAAATCTGGTCATTGATTAATCACGATCTTGCTTAAAGCCCTTGACGTAAAAAGCTGATTTTTGGAATAAATAATATTATTTAATAAATAATTATATAAAATAATTATATAAAAAATATTAGTAACACTAACAGAACTAAGGATATTAAAAAAATAACTGTAATAACTAACTGTACTATAAACAAAAAACTTGTAAAAAATACTCTAATACTTTGTACCCCAATTGCTATAACTTTCTGTATACGTCGGTCCATACTGTTAATGAGGCTGCAAATATATTGTGTTATGTTTTCCCATTCTTCTTCAAGAATCAAGTGAATATTCATAATTTCCGCCAAATTAAAATAGACCAGTGACTTTTACACAATCTTCAACACTAAGAACCATATTCAATCGTACACAACAATAATCACCAAAGCCACCTCGTCATTATGAAGAATAACATCAAAAAGTAACAATAATTAAAGATATTGCAAAATGTTTGTGGCAAGTTCATTTTGCTCTTGAAAATTAACCAAGGCATCTGTTGACATGAGTCAAAAAAAAGAAATGCTGAGTAGACATGGTTCTGACCGAAAAATAATGTTTTATGAAAATTTACTCACGAAATTATTGTACAGGGTGTTTTAAAGATAAGGTAAAAAACAACTCTTCGATTAACCCTGCATAATAAGTCAATAATTAAAGTTTATAATAAACTGAGTTTACGAATTAAAGTTGATATATTTATATACAGTTTGCTAAACAAATCAAGGAAATAAAGCTAAAAATAAAAAATATAACACTTTAAACAAGACCAAAAAATTTTCCGTTGGTTTTTTTGCCTCTGAGTGTAGATACCTACGTCAATTTGATCTCTAAAAACGGCTATTTCGCCACTGAAACAGAAATATAAAGAATCAAAGTTTTTTTTTTGTAAAGTGTCACTGGATGTACCTACTATATTCTTAAGAAAACAACCTTCTCTCTAAAAATCAGGATTTTACTTGTAAATTAAAAAGCCACCCTAAGTCGGAGAGAGAAAAATGCGAATTGTACATTACATAACCATGATGATATATTTCAGGCGCTTGTGAAAATGCTTTGTTCTTCTCTTTTTTATTCAGTATTTATTTTTGTTTTTGTTTTTCTCTCTTTTTTCAGAACATCCTTATTGTACTGAGTGTATTGACTGTATTTATCGGCAGCCAAAGCCAGAAATACCGTCCCGGTATGTATAGATAACAATGTATATTTTATTTAAAACATTGAATTTTGATTTTGATTTCAATTCAATCTCAATACAAAAATAAAAAGCAAAAAAGTTTTTCAATTAGAGTAAAAGTGATACCAAGCTGGTAGTACTAAATAACTAAGTATTTTTATGTATATGTTTACTGCTCAGAAAATTCAAGGTTCTTGCTTTATATACAAGGTCAGTCTTAAATAAGTGCAAATATTTTTAGGGATTGTATATTTTGACCCCAGAAACACAATAATAAAGATTTTTTCGCGAAAAAAACATTTTGAAAATCTGTCATTTTCTGGATTTTTTTTTAGTTTTTCGTTAAAAAAAAATTCTTGATAATATGGCAACATATGTTATACATTAAACATACATACATATATTATACATTAAATTTAGAAGATAGAAAACCCAGGACAGATAGAGTGGTTTTCAAAATTTAAGCAAAAAACATTTTTTGAAAATTTTCTAAGTAAAGTAACCCGGTTATTTTGGAGTTATTTGAAAAATGGTAAAGAGAAATTATGCTTCTTTCATCGATATCTACCAGCCCTGAAAATATTTGCACTCACTTAAAACTCATCCTGTATACAGGGTTGTTCACCACATACGACACGGAGTATTGTAGATAGACGATTAGATTTTTGCAAATTGTAACTTTTGGGTTCGTTGAAGGACTATTAGAGCTACAATTTAAAAATATTTTTACACGATACACAGTGTCTCAAATAAATAAAAAATATCAAAGTTGTATTTTTTGAAATGGAACACCATGTATATTATTACATTTTTAGTTTCTACGATTAAAATAAAGGTAAATTTGATTAAGGTTTATCGTACTTAAACCTTACCGTTTTTGAAATATTTTCAATTGTGTGAAATTGCAGTAAAAATTTTAAGACATAGTTTCTCCAAGGGTATCGAAGTTTTTAATACTAAATATTTACTGAAGTTTATTTATTGATCAGTTATTGTGTTGCAATAATAAAAATAATATTACCTCAGACAGAGTGTCTAAAAATTTATTTTAAATAATTACTAGCTTTAAACGGCAATAACTTGTTTAATTTAAATGGAACACCCTGTATATTTTAGGAGTACCAGATGCACCAGTTAATTGTATTATAGCATTTTTTACCTATATCTTCAAGTTTTTGTAGAATATGTATTTTCTTATAATTTAGGCCTCATTTATCAATATACCCATGGAATATTCACATTTTGGATTATTTTTAAAGATGTAACAAATTTTTAAAGAGTACAGATACTAATATTGTCGATAAAATTAGTTTATTTCATTAAAAAAATATAAAAACCTTTTCCTATTTTAATATATTATTTATTATTATATTAATTATTATATTATTATTATATATTTATATAACCTTTTCCTATTTTATTATTATTATATTAATTTATTATTTAAAAATTTATAAAACATTAATTACTTTGACATCTTTTTATGTTTTCAAATAAAAATTAGCATCAATATATTATTATTTAAAGTTGATTTGCTTTTTAAAGAAATTAAAGAGGTTTTAACAAAAACTGTTACAGTTAAATGAAATGTGTTCAGTATTTCATAGCCTAGAATTAATAAGCAAGCACCAGTATTTGGGAAATGCAATAAATTAAATAAAAAAATTGGTCAAGTGCTAGTCGGACTCGCGTACAAAGGGTTCCGTACCATTCATTATCTATACAACATTAGACACTATATTATTATAAACATTTTTCCGATTTAGCTGAAATTTTGAAAGCGCGTATCAGTAATTTAAAAAATGAAGAAACACATTGTATTAATCAATAATAAATATGTAAAAAGTTAAAATAAATATGTAAAAATTAAAAAAAACGATTAAAAAAAAGTCGCCTTGACTAGGATTCGAACCTGCCTTACTACGCCTACGGCTCCAACGTCATAGCAGCGTAAAGTCTTAACGCTTTAACCACGCGGCCACCGAGGATTTGAAAGATTCTATGTAAAATTCTTACTTAAAAGATAATGTTTAGTGAAAGTATTTTTTTATTTATAAACATTTATTTAATTCTGTTTTTAGTATTTGTTCTTATAGCGGCAACATGGATACATTATCTGTAAAAATTTCAACTGTCTAGCTATAACGGTTCATAAGATAGACCTTTGTGACAGACGGACGGACGGACGGACAGCGAAGTCTTAGTAATAGGGTTCCCGTTTTTACCCTTTGGGTACGGAACCCTAAAAATAAATACAAGTTTGTCATAATTTTTTAGAGCATGATGGTCCTTTTGCTATTTTTTTAAAAATTGATAAAACATTAATTATTATCACATCTTTTTTGTTTTCAAATTAAACTTAGCATCTATATATTATTATTTAAAGTTGGTTTACTTTTTAAAGTAATTAAAGAGGTTTAAAAAAACTGTTAAAGTTCAGTGAAATGTGTTCGGTAGTTCATACCCTAGAACTGTACTATTAATAGGCAAGTATGAGTGATTCAATAATTTTAAAATAAAAACAGCTCATGTAAATGTATTCCAAACAAGTGAAATTGTAAAGTTGACGTAAGTATCTTATTTAATTATCCAGGATATCAGATAAATTAGCATGCAATTGTAATAAAAAAATATGTACAAATTACTTACAACAAATAAAAATAACGTGAGCAAGTGAAAGGGGTCATTTTATTCTAGGTGATTAGTTTTTGGGAAAGTTTAAAGCTTCTTTATTGGGTGGTACTCCGTCTAATTGCAGAATTGGTTTGGGGGGATCGGTAACTAAAGGTGCGAAGTGTTCCCAACTCTAAAAGGGGGTCTTAATATTACAACCGTCACCAACACACTAAAGCTTATAGCTAATTATATACATATTTACATATAATATAAACAGTGCCTTACTATAAACAAGTAAAGACTGTCCAATGAAACATAAAAGATTTCGATGCAACAAAACAACAGAAAATATAATTAACCTCTACACTAAAATGATCGACAAAATCTGTCTATATTTCATTGGATGGACTTTATCTGTTGTAAAAAGGCAAGAGCAACAAGGTTGATAACTAATATCTGTATTTGCTTGCTATTATTATTATAGATAATTTTTAATTAAACTGTGTAGCTCATAGTAAATTTACTTATTATTCATTGTAAATTTATCTTTTAAAATCGCCAACTTCTTGTAATTTTACTATAGAGTAACAACAAATTAAAACATTTTATTAAATTTATTTTATATTTTAGAAAGTTTGGCGTAGAATTTTGAACACCCTGTATGATTTAAGATTCCGATATTTAACAGCAAAGTAAGTGCAGACCATCTTAATTAGAGTTCTTGTATTTTTAATAACTTTTTTACGGAGGGTTGAAAATTATATATTTTTATTTATTTATTAATATCTCCAAAACTATCGAAATATATTTACTCATATCTTAGGATTATATAAAGTGATCAGAAAGGAAACCAAAAATGCAATAATATACAGGGTGTTCCATTTAAAAAAATCATCCGATCCACTCACACTTTTTTGAGCCATCCTGTAGAAGTTAAAATATTTTCCTAAAATACACCCTAGTACATGCTTTAGGTTTGAATTTAAACAAAATTCCCAAGTTCTTTATTCTAGGAGCTACAGATGCCCGATGCACTATTGCCGGACCCTGTATAATCTAAAGGGGTGAATTTTATATACTACAACTGCTAATCTAATTTTAATAAACAATTAAGAAAGTCCAAAAATTGAACTTACGAAACAATACAAAATCGTTTAACCCTTAACTGGTCCGGCGTCGTCTGACAGACTACGCCAAAAAATTAACTCATTCTCATTAGTTACTGGGACCGCCCACACAATTGGCGTTCCAGCTAATCCTCCCCCTCTCGGTCAACTACTAATAGCCATATTTATGCCAAAACTGGATTAGTTTTTTAGAAGTTATGGCAGAAGTTACTTAAAGGTGCGTATTCATTATTCGCACGAACGAACGAACGAATGTTCACTAGTGGTATGAAGTGTACGGGGACCGTACGATAGAACCGTACGAGAAGACCGGAGGCATTTGTTGGCGAACGCCTTTGATGTACCGACTCGAAACGGATGGTCGAGCGAACGAACGAACGAACGGCCGCATGCGTTCGGTCCCCGTCTAAATATACCGCACTTTCATTCGTTCGTTCGTTCGGATAATGAATACGCACCTTAAGCCGTAGTCTCTCAGACGACGCCGGACCGTTTGCGTAAGATTTTGTGTTTGACAAACTTTTGTAAAATATGGCCAGGCCTTCGAAAAGAGTGCGTTTACGAGACTCTAGTTATGAAGAAACTCTATTAAAATGATATGATGAGGACTGTGACAGTGACAATATGACAATCTGCCAGACAAATGCGTTTGACAATGTCAAATATTCCAAGAGAAATATACTTTACAATTGGTAGAATACTTGCAATTCCTGTACAACCAGAACACGTCCACGGAGATATTCTTATCTCAGAGTTCTTATCCTAGTTAAAGACAATGTTATGTCCTAGTTTAATTATTTTTAATGCCTATAATATACGAATTCATTTTGTAAAACATGTTCAGGAAAACAATGAACTTTGCCTCATGCTGTAACTAAAAACCTTTTCTTTAATTTCAGTTTTATAGCTTATTTTTTTTTTATATATAGTACTAAAAACATATTTCTATATTGTAATGACTGTTAGTAATTTGGTTTTATTTTTTAGAGCTTAGTAAAAATCTAATTGTTTTTTTTTCAAATTTATATGTATGTTATTTTATTTTGTACTATATTTTCTTAAAGTTTATATTAATTGAACCCATTTTTGTCTATATTAGTTCAATAATACATAATATAATATATAATAAAATAAAAATTTGTTATTTTTTAGTTTTTGTGTTTTTTTCACTTTTTAGAAGGCGTAGTCCCACAGACTACGCCGGACCGTTTATGATACATATCTATTACCGGACCAGTTAAGGGTTAAAGATACCATACAATTTCAAAACGCAGAAACATGCCATAAATGACATCGTAAACTACAACTTAAAAATATATTATGTATTTAAAATACCTAAACCGATTTCATTAAACAACTTTTGTCTTATAGTGTTTTTGTTTTAAAAGCTGTTAAATTTTAATAACTTATAAATATAAAAGTAAATAGATAGTTTTTTAAAAATTACATTATTAAAATAAATATATATATATATATATATATATATATATATATATATATATATATATATATATATATATATATATATATATATATATATATATATATATATATATATATATATATATATATATATATATATATATATATATATATATATATCATTTTCAAACAGGAACTATTTACGAATTTTTATATAATCAATACTTCATAGTAGATAAATAATTCTGTGCATAAAGTAATACAAAAATATTTAAGAAGACTATTTTGTTACTTGGGGCGATTAAAACTTACGACAGGGATGATTAAAACTTATATACAGGGTGTTTTGTAATACATAAGCACACTATTATTTTATCTACAGAGAAAATACTACAGTTTTAAAATTACCTTGGCAGCCAGTAAAGTAACGTTTAATAATGTTGGATGATCATCGACGACCATAAATTCCACTTCTCGCGGTACAAATCCATCTCCATAGACCTGTAAAAATATAAACCATGATATATTTACTTACATCTACTATACATCTTATACAGGGTGTCCCAGAAATAAGTTAAGCAAATATTTTAAGGGGTGGTAGATCTCGATAAAAAAAATATATTTTCTCTTTATCGTTTTTCAAATAATTCCAAAATAACGAAGTTATTTTACTTTAAAAATTTCCAAAAAAAAAAATATTTTTTTCTAAAATTTTGAGAACCACTGGATCTTTTCTGGATTCTCTTTCTTGTAAATTTAATCTAATACCTATATTGCCATATTATCAAGAAATTATGTTTTTTAACTAAAAACTAAAAAAAATTCTAAAAAATTTTTCAAAAAATTTCGATTTTTATTTTTTTTTTTTCTCGAAAAAAACCTCATAGGCGTGTTTCTGGGGTTGAACTATACTACCAATTAAAATACTTGCACTTATTTCTGGGACACCCTGTATTATTATATCTACTACTATATCTTGTAGTAGCAAATAATGATTTTATATAAAGAAGTTTCTGCGAAGCCAAATTTAAGTACTTTGTAACCATTTTGTATATAGGTAATACCCATATTACTAGTACTCCTTTCTATACACGCTTTAAATATCTCATTCTGTATCAGTGAAAAAAAATTATATGGACTCCATAAAAATTAATAATTTTCGATGTAAATCCCTTTTCCCCAAAGCTAATCGAGATTTTAATGCATAAATTTATCGGACTTCTAGATAAAAAAATAGATTTGGAATGAAATGACGTCATTTCCAGTCAGTTTTTAGGTCATACTGTTATTGATTCAGTTACTGACGTCAATTTATATCCCTAACATATATTCAATTAAATTTACAGTTTGAATAACTAAATTTAGAATATCAAAGCCCAGAGACTTTTTCCTCGGTATTCAAGTACTGTGAATGTTAAACCTTCTGTATTGTGTTTTATAGATAAAATACTAAAATGTTTACCCATTTTTTTTTTGTTGCTTTTATTTTTTATTTTAGTAATTTTAGTAAATTCCTTCTTAATTTTTTAATTTTTATTTTTTTTTCTAAGTAAATTTATTGAAATAAATGAATCTAATAGGCCAGTGCAAATAATTTTGAATTTGCAAAAATTTTTAGAAAGCTGCGGCCATTGAAAATAGTTAGCCTTAGTAACCCTTATTAACATACTAAAAGTCCCCATTTGTCCGATGTGTGCGTCATCAAGAAAAAAATCGGCCGCCATCTTGAATTTTGGTACTTTTTGGGAATAAATGTAAATAACTCGAAAACAGTGCGTTATAGCGAAAAACTTCAAGAGGTAAAAATTAAAGAGAATAAAAAACTCTATCAGAATCAATAAAGAATAGTTGATTATCCTAACGCAGTGACGTACAAAATTTTTTTGAAAATCGAGCAATTTTTAAAAGGAATCACCGAAATGCAAATTACTATTCTTTTAAGCTTATTAACAAATAACATGGATATTTAACATCAATTCAACTAAAATACAGTCCTTTTGACATTTTCAAGAAATATTTACTGGTGGTTTAATAATAATTCAAAATTAACAAAAATTGTCAAAGCTATCCTTTACTAAATACATGTGTACTAATAATGTGCGAAAGCAGCCTCCACCTTGTTCCGGTCGGGGCTATTTGCACTTTAACCAAGGTCTTTTTGTTACCATTTTGTAAACAACTTGTTTTTAAGTATACAGTGACAGTTTGAAAAATTAGGCTACAGGTTGGAAGAAAAAAATAAAATGTAATAAACTACTTGCGAATGTCTTTTTGTAAAAATAAATACATTCATACCCCTACAAATCGAATAACAATAATTCAAATTATGACCATTTTGTATGTATATATATACACTAATGTATTACCAACTTGTAACCTAACTTTTCAAACTGTCATCTCTAGAAAAAAAAATGAAATTTACAATTTTATTCGATTTGTTCTTCGTCGACCGATATTTGTTTGTTCTCGCAAGAAATACTATTACAGTTACCACACAAGCATGAACATGGCATATTGGATTTTAAACATGTACCATTGCGATTAAAAAAAATAGTACAACAAAATATGATTTAATCTGCTGGTCTATATTCTTGTGTCGGTGTCACGTAATTTTTAAAAAATGCCTTTAACTTCAGAGCAAAAATCGATTATATTTACGTGATTAAGGGATGGGGTTCCCATAAGGGACACTGCAGATACATTAGGAATAAACAAAAAAACAGTGCTGTTGGCTAAATCCAAAAAAAAAATCAATATAATTCAAATATCCTTATAGACCAGGAGTTCCATCTGGGATTACTAATTCTTGTACTACTTTTTTTTATCGCAATGGTACATAGTTTATTACATCCAGATTTGCAATTACAGTAAATCATTTTCAATACAAATTCTGGTGCCACTGCGTTTGACATTGTTTTTGGAACTAAGGTATCCATTTTTTCAACTCCATCCACATTCCCATCCACAGCCTCTTCTCCGTTATTTAGCCAATACTGCATTTATAAATAGGTCCTATAATATTGACTTTCAGCTGCGTTCAAAATTTTTACTATAAGTACCTGACGAGATGTAAGGGCTTTATATTTAAAATACCTCAACTGATCTAAATCTTTTGCTAGCCTATGTCGACCATATAATGAAAATATGAATGTATTTCCAACTTCGACTAGCTCAGATTTTTGTGCTGCAGGGTATAAAAAAAAACGGATATAATTTGTCGCAGATGAGGATCTTTTTGCAACGTTTTGAAAGTCGCCAGTTTACATTACATTTTATTTTTTTCTTCCAACCTGTAGCCTAATTTTTCAAACTGTCACTGTATTTTTAAAAACAAGTTGTTTACAAAATGGTAACAATAAGACCTTGGTTTAAGTGCAAATAGCCCCGACCGAGACAAGGTGGAGACTGCTTTCGCACATTATTAGTACACATGTATTTAGTAAAGGATAGCTTTAACAATTTTTGTTAATTTTGAAATATTATTAACCCACCAATGAAAAATATTTCTTGAAAATGTCACAAGGATTGTATTTCAGTTGAATTGATGTTAAATATCCATGTTATTTGTTAATAAGCTTAAAAAATTAGTAATTTGCATTTCGGTGATTCCTTTTAAAAATTGCTCGATTTTCAAAATTTTTTTGTACGTCATTGCGTTAGGATAATAAACTATTTTTGATTCTAATAGAGTTTTTTATTCTCTTTAATTTTTACCTTTTGAAGTTTTTCGCTATAACAAATAAAATTCAAGATGGCGGCCGATTTTTTTGATGACGCACACATCGGACAAATGGGGACTTTTAGTATGGTAATAAGGGTTGTAGAATGTAGAATGTTCTACAATAAGGGTTACTAAGGATAACTATTTTCAATGGTCGCAACTTTCTAAAAATTTTTGCAATTTCAACATGGCGAATGTCATAACTGCACTGGGGTATAATGCATAAGCTATACCTATTCTGCTTAAATTCTAATCATTGAAATTTTGATTGAAATTGAATTATACGGGGTGGCGCGTCATCTACGACGCGGTTTTTACAAGGAGAACAAAAGTTTGTATTGAAGTGAAATTTTGTGAGCTTATGTAATTCAATTTAAAGCATTCTCTAAAATTATATAGATTTCTACAGGGTGTCCCCAAAAATAGTTACACATAAAAGTTGTGTTTTTTGTAATGGAACGCCCTATATATTAATTGATTTTTGGATTCTAGTAAAAAAATAAAGGCGAGTTTCATTAGAAAAGTATATGACTAAAATGTGTAGTTTTTGAAATACATTTTCACCGGCACGAAAAATGGGCCCCTTATAACTTTGACGTACTTTAAAGTCTAATATATTTTGTTTTACCAGGCCGACTTTGATGACTTTTAAGCAGTATGTAGCCAAATTATTTGACTTTTTAGTACCTCTTTTTAAATTAAAAATAAAACTCCCCATTCTGTTAATTATACAATGGAAAACAAAATGTTGATATTTTGGTGACAGTTTGATTGAACGTGTTAGGTTCAATCAAACTGGTGGAATATGTTAAAACAACAAGAAATTTAAAAATCATCTAATTTTATCAGCTAGATCCGTCTTTTCTCGATAGTTTGTTTTTTGGTTCATCTCATTAGCTTTATTTTTGTCGGAGATATTCGTTTTTGAAGAAGACACTAACATTTTTTTCATTTCACATTGAGACCATGCCTTTGCTTTTGGTCCTAGTCAACAGATCTAGTAAGTTCTGGTTCCGAAGCAAGCTTCTTGACATAAGATTTGCCTCATTTCTTTTGTCTTCTTCTTATAGTCCGTTAGTTAATATGTACGTTCCTTAGGTGAAATTCATTATAAATTTAAAAAACTGACAAACGGCGGTTTCTTAGCGATAAACTTCGTCGATCGTCTCGATTAGAAGTTCTCATACGAAGGTTCCTGGGCGTCTAGATTAATGTCCTCATGCACGTGGTTATAATTCAAAAACCACTCAGTATACTCTATGGTATTAAGGTATTTTTTGAATTGGAATTTTATAGCAAATTCAATGAACTAAACAAATATAAAGCATTTCATTAAAAATATATTTGACCACCCTGTATATCCATAAAATATTTTTGAAATGTGTACTACCATTAAACACATATTTTCTAAAAGGTTTGTAATGAAAATCTCAAATAGGAATCCTGATACAGAGCTTTTTCGGACAACACGGAGCCATCTTGTATGTATGGATTTGTATAGGTGTGTTTAATTTAAATACTAAAGGGAAAACAACGAATTTAAATGGGTAAACTTTGTAATATATCTTACTAAAAATACAATGCAAAAAGTCTTTGCATTTTGTCGAGGTTTGTATCCCATAAGGGCTTAAAGCACTCCACTATATAATATTACTAAACATTAAAAGCTCACAGCTCACAAAAATTCTCTTCTTCGTCTCTATTTATTTTACTTACACAACTTTTCGGTCAGAAGTATCACTGACCGTTATCAAGTGTCAAGTAATCTAAATCCTAAAACTACTGAGGTTAATACACTAGAAGCGAGCATTCACTCGTGAAGAATTTAGGTACACTCAAGCATGAGGTTGTCCACTGATAATACCTGCAAGGGAGCGTTTTATGAGTGGTTGCCATATTGTTGAATTTCCATACTTATATTGCTAAAGATATTATTGCTAGATATGAATACGGCTTCTTTAAATTTACGTTTTTTTCCAATGGGGTTCTTTGTAGACAACCCGGGCTTCCGACCATTTTATGTTGTGGTGCTTGGACCAAACATGATCTGCAATGCCTGACTTCATTGTTTCACCTCTTTGAGTATGTTTATTATGTTCGCCAAGTCGTACATGTAAAGCATGTTTTGTCACATATACGACTCACCGCAAGGCACCTGGTAGATGCATTCTTTCTCTTGTTTTGATGATTCCGGATTTGGTTTTGTTAGGACACTTCTTAGAGTAGTCCCAGACTTAAAAACAGTTTTAATTTTATACTGCTTGGCTATTCGCTTGATCTCCGATGTTTATTTCACATATGAAATTGTCAAGAGAGAGAGAGAGCATCTTTCTCATGCTTTTGTACCAATGAGTCGGACTTGGAATTGGAATATAAGATTGTCTAGGGATTTTGAATAGTAACCATTCTGAAGCAAATCGGTTTTAATATTACTTGCAATACTTTACTGCATATAGTATAGTAGTAGTTAGTAGTAGAAGTACCTAGTAGTTTTAACTATACCTCTTTTGGTTGCTTCAGAATGATTCGTTTGATAATTTAAATATTGTTCCGTATGTGTGGGTTTTCTATAGAGAGCAGTGCTAATAGCTCCATCGCTTCTACTCACAAGAACATTCAGAAACGGTAGACAGCAGTTTTTCTCTTTCTCAATTGTGAATCTGATTGACTTACTTCTTTTAGTTTCAATGCAAAATCATTGTCTACCACAATCAAAATAATATTGTATTATTGATAAAAATCTGTATATAATAGTATATTATTCAACGAGCATATAATGGTGGCTGTTATTCACGCGGATGAAGTTTATGATACGAGCCGCAGGCGAGTGTGATAAATCATCCAAGTGAATAACAGCCATTATATGCGAGTAGAATACTATACTTTATCCAGGACTATCAAAAAAATTTAGATAATATTAATATAAGTTTCGCCTGCGGTTCGTGTCATAAACTTCAGCTGCGTGAATAACAGCCATTATATGCGAGTAGAATACTATACTTTAGTCAAAAAATTTAGATAATATTAATATAAGTTTTTATTTTTAAGGTCAAAAAAATATTGAACGAGTATAATGAGTAAGTAACATGGAAACAAAACATTGAAATTTTCTTTAACTAGGTAGCTCACTAATTTAGCTTTAATTAATTAAAACAAAACCAAGCCGGTTTGGATCGAGCACAGCTCTTGGTTCGAGTTTGGATCGAGGTATCCGTGGAAGCGGTGAATAATGAAACCATTATTCACTAGTGAATAATGAATATTATTATTATTTCATAAACTCATGTATAATAATCAAATTATAGCCGAGTCGTGGATAAAACAATTAAAACTACACTTTATATTAGAATTTTTGGCTATTTCGACAGCCTTACAGCTTATACTGAAGCTTACCTCAAGTTTGTATATTCCCGGCATTAATATTCTCCAGAATTCTCCAAATTTCGTGGTTTGGAAACCGACATCTCTTGTTTTGATCTTCAAAGATGCCATTTCGACAGGATTGCCATATTCATCCATCACAAATCCATGTACACCCCTGTGAGCTTCTGCCAAATATTTTATCAATGCCTAAAAATAATTATATATGCCAGCAATTACAGCAAAAAATATATAATAGTTTATAGTCTTTAATGTTCAAATAATAAAATTTTTAAATAAAAAAAAAATTTTACTAGTTTTTAAAAAAGTTTACAAAAAACTTACAGGGGTAACTAAGTACTGCTTTGTATGTAATTCATGTACTTACTACTTTATTGTCTTCCCAGTATTTTGGTAACTCATAAGCTGGAGGATATTTACAACAAGAAACTTCCAAAGTGACCTCCATGCAACCATACCATACGTAGTTATAGTCTTGCATACCTCCGGTTAAAGGATACCATTCAGCACCGTTTGTTATACCCTTCAAAAAATATAATATATTCAATTAATAAAGATTTTTCGATACATTAGTATTATTATTAGATTTATTAATGTTGATAACAAATAACCAAGACAGATGATATTCACATATCGTCTTATATTTGACGAGATGTGCTGTTTTAATATGAATATAAAAAACAAGTTATCCTAATATTTCTTACACGTTTAAAGGATGTTTGTGATGTTTTACATGAAACTCCTCTGCTCATTTTAGCATGGTTAGTGGAATAAGTTAGAGCCAGATGTTTGAAAACGTCGTCATCAGGTGTTAATGATGGTGTGTGGGTATAGGATGTGAACACTGAAACAAAAAAGGTAGATTTAAATAAGTAGGGGTACAAATAGATCTATGTAGCTACACTAAAGTTTATAAAATAGTACTAAAGTACTAAGTAATAATCAGGAACTAAAATTATTTATTAAAAGCTTAACTTTAGAGATAAACTGAAATTATATAGAAATAAGTTTTTTCAGTCATAATTCAAAATATGGAATGTGTATTCAAATGTTTCTAATATGGTGTGTAAATTTTACAAGAATTTGTTCTACATGAAAATTTCTTAAAAAAATCTAATATTTTTTATATTTCTTGAAAGATAATTTTTAATACTTACTGGCACATAAAGCTGAAGATGCGCAGACTCCTTTTTGCAGCATTAAAAACTTTCTAATATTTAATATTACAAAAGAAAGTTAATACAGATGGTCAAATATAGTTAAAACATAAAAATGTAAAATACATACAACATTTTTCATATAATATCATATCAGAAAGTTCGTTAAACATTTGACCTAATCGTTAATATTAATGGTCCATTAGTACATTACACTATATTAAAAAATATTCTTGCACACTAAATGATAAGATTTCTCGCTTAATTTTTTCTATAGATAACACCGTATGATAAAAAAAACGGCGTCAAAAAGGACTGGGGAATGACAATCGATGCACACCATCGAATTACACCATTTAAAAACATTTTTGCTCAATATAAAAGTAAAATATAATCTTCTTAAAGCCAACTGGTAGTAAGGGCAATTAAATAATAAAGCGGAGTACAGGTCAAGTTCTAGGGCTTGACCTCACCAAAATTATCATCGATTGTCATTACCAGCCGTCTTTGATGCCGTTTTTTTTCTATCCTATGGTGTTAATTTATGTTCTATCTAAAATATGACAACATTGAAAATTGCAACGAAAAACGTAACGATCGCACAAATAAATGTTTTAGAAAATCTCAAAATTTTCATAGTTCACTGACTATGCTACAGAAATTAGCTTTTTAAAAAGTTGTCTAGTATAGGAAAAATATTAAACAATCTTCAAGTTATTCAGATAAAAACACACTAAAGCCGGAACCCCATTAGCCAACACCCGATGTGATGCCACGCGATGCCAGGCTATCCCACGTGTTGCGACGTGAGAATGGGTGTGCACATTAGGTAACACGTTGTGTTAACACGTGTTAACATGCCTGAAATTTTTATTGAAGTTTAAAAAGTTGTTAATAGGGATACGAAAATACTAGAAGTATCGATACCCATACCGATATTAGATTATAATCATAATACCTTAACTTCACAATCTCCATTAACCTTCTTTCCTTAATTGTTGATTATTAAATTTTAAAATTAATAATAGAATTTGTATTTTTACTGATTGAACACTCAAAAAAACATTTTTGTTTTCTATTGCATTCGAAAATAACCGTTAGAAAATAGCTGCGGGACTAGAGAAGCAAGCGGGGAACAACACGCCGTAACACACGTCGGTGAGACCTGGGACCGACGAATCGACCATCACACGTGTCATAGCGTGTTATAGCTAGTCGGATGGCGTGGCGTGTTGCCTAGTGTGTACGCAATACATGTAATTAAATGGAAAAACATACGCACTGATCTTCATGACGTGGGGTAGTATGGCATCGCGTGGCGTGGCGTGTTGGCTAATGGGGTCCGGGCTTAACACAACAGAGAACAACTTACGCGAATTAGGTGTATTATCAAAAGGATAGCTGGCGACCAAAGCACCGCCATGAAGACTGCCAGAGAGGACAAACTGAATTTTCTTCACCCATTCCTTCACAGCTTCAGTTTCAGGTTGGGTTCTTCTATTGTTCTGCTTGAAATAATCAGGGAAATTTCTGTTCAAGTCGTATCCTTGAGAATTATATCTACAAAAAGAATATTAACTAATGAATTAAAGAAAAAATCACAAATTTAACGTGAATTTATGCGTTAAATAAACCGCCGAGAGGGCAGACTTTAATTTACAAGTTTTTTTATTGTTTAAAATTTCAGTTTCGGCAACTAGTATCGTAGTTTTAGTGTCTCATCATCAGTTTGAGTTTGGCTCATGAATTTTTCAGATTTATAAATTATAAGCAAAAAAATACAAAATAAGGAGGTGATTGCCAGGATTTATTATATAAGCAAATAACTTAGTAGAGATATATGAGAAATTTAAATTACCTACTTATTTATATTTATCTACAGCTATTTAGACTATTTTATAAAAAATATAGAATTTGTACCTTCCTTGGGCTCCATCACATTGTCCTTCTTTAGATACTTCAAAACCATCAGGATTCATGGAAGGCATGATATGAATTCTTGTATTGTCCAGTAGCCATTTTATATAAGGATCTGTATTGTAGCTCGTCACTAAATACTAAAATGAATAAATTAACCTTATACGAAACATAATATAAATTATAAAAAGATAAAATAAAAAAATATATCTCAAATAAACTATTGCAAGAAAATATGATCTACAGTTGAATATTGAAAATTTCTTGTAATAGATTGAAGTTACAAGCTGAAGTAGCTAAAATCATCAATAAAGTGTAGTGCTACGATCTACATATTTCTAAAAAATCTGCCATGAGTTAGAAAACTAAATAGTAACTATAAGTATACATATGTATGTCTTCAGTATTCTTATAAGCGTCATAATGTTTATTGTTTATAATATATTTCGTCTTTCAGTATAGTGCTTATTGACCTTATTTATAGCATACTTGTAATTTTCTATTTCACTGAAACTTACTTTCAAAATGGTTGATTTTAAAAAGAATTCTGGTATAATTTCGTCAAATTTTATAAGTATATATTTTTTAATAGACAAAAATTTATTTAAATATACTTACATGTATAAGTTGTAGAAGTAGTTCGCGACTTACAGCTTCGTTACCGTGGATGTTTCCGATATACTTAACATCTGGCTTTCCAATCATATGTTCATACGGTGATGCAGATACAACCATTACCCATAGGTCTCTACCTGAATCAAAAAATTATAATTTCATCAATATCTTTATTATTTTAACATTTATGAACACAGACTACAGAATAGTCTAATACAAGGGTTGTTTTTTATATTTTGCATATAAAAACATAGTAGGTCCCTGTCAATATATATTAAATGCAAAATTAACTGTCATCTTTAGTTAACTTCCTGTCAAAGTTTTAGACCGCTTCGTTTAAAGCTGTTCATAAACTGAAGTTGCCGAGTCAGTCCAAAAATGGAATTAAGCCGAGAAAATTTTCGCGCAATAATTTAACAAAGTCTTGCTGAGACAAAGACAGTTGTCTCAACAAGAATGCATTGCCGAGTTATTTTCTGTTTTCGACAATGAAGCACCACATCAGTCCACAATTTCTTGTTGGTATGGATAATTAAATGTGGATGGATGAGTCTTAACCCTGTAGTAGATTAGTTAGTTTTAAATCAACAGCAGGTCCACGAACAACGGCAGTCACTCAGAAAAACGTTGATGCTGTACGTAAGCTGGTCCAAGAAGATCGATATGTGATCGTGAAACTGAAGTTTCACTGTATATTTGAAAAACCTAAATTCGAAACCTAAAACTTTTACATGAAGAAACATCTGTAAAAAACGGTTTCTCGTTGGATACCGCATTTGTTGACGGAAGAACAGAAACCAATTAAACAAACAAACAAACAAACAAACGCTTTATTGTACAAAAAGCCAAAACAGCTTCATCGACAAAGCAAAACAAAAAAGCACAAAAACAAATATACAAATAAACAAATAAAAATGCCATACAATACAAATCAATTCAAAAAAAAATTTACGTCATAAAATTACAAATAAAACATATATGGACATTGCAGAACACAGGCGTAACTAGAAAATTTTACAAAAGGAAAACTCTAAATGGATAAACTAATGTTATATATTATAAAATCAAGAGTTATAAAATATAAAATATTAAATACTAGACATTTAACCAGTGTATGAGATAATCAAAATTGTAAAATTCAAAATTGTCCATGATTAAACATCAACAAAAAAGTCGTTTACCGCATATAGGGCTCTCTCCAGTAAGTATGATTTCAGAGCTTTGCGAAATGCGGGAAAGAATGAAAGTGACTTGATATTCGAAGGCAAATGATTGTACATTTTCTTGGCATTGTACAGTATTGAACCCTTAACTAGTTCTGAGTTCGGGGTTGGCAGATAAATATCGTGCTTCATCGCATTCCTAAGTGGATAGTTGTGAGAAGGCCTCTCCGGAATAGAGAATATGTGCTTGCGGATTAAGCAAATGAATAAGGAAGGAAGAGTCAGTAATTTGAAATTTTTAAAGAAATTCTGGCAGTGAGTTCTACTGTTTAGTCCCAATAAGTATCGAACTGCTCTCTTTTGAAGTTTGAAAATACGATCAAATTTTGTCGCGCAGCAAGTACCCCAGAATGGAAGGGCATAACGAAGATGCGACTCAAAAAGGGCATAATAGACCATTCGAGAGATTGATGAGTTAAGTTCCTTAGAAACTGATCTTAGCGCAAAACAGGCAGCGCTTAGTTTCTTTGATAAAGCTTCGATGTGCAAGTCCCATTTTAACGAGTTGTCTACAACAAGTCCTAAGAATCTCACAGAGTCCACGACGTCAATAGTGGTGTTATTAAGTACAAAAGATTGTATAGTACTTTTATATGACAAAACTTTAGTTTTTGAAAGGTTGAGGCATAGGAGATTAGAATCGCACCAAGATTTAATGGTGCGTAAGTCACTGGATGTAGTACTATATAGTGCCGTAACATCTTGGCCGCTCCAAGTGAAACTAGTGTCGCCCGCAAAGAGGCAGATTTTACCGCTAATGTCTAGACTTGCAATGTCGTTGATAAACACCAGAAATAAAATAGGGCCAAGTACTGAACCCTGAGGGATACCGCATTCTATAGGCTTACAAGAAGACATAGACGTATCAATCCTCACAAGCTGCCTTCTGTTGCCAAGATACGACTTAAGCCATTCGAGCGGCACTCCCCTGAATCCATAGTATTGCAATTTGTTAATTAAGATATTATGATTTACACAATCGAAAGCCTTAGAGAAATCACAGAAAATTGTAGCTGTAGAGTGATGGTTATTCAGGCTAGAGTATACATTATTAAAAAGGTCGAACATAGCATCATTTGTGCAACTGTTACTTAGAAATCCAAATTGATGGGTAGAAAGTACTTTATATTTAAGGAGAAAAGATAGAAGATTTTTTTTAACCAATCTTTCAATAATCTTAGATAATGTGGGCAGGAGAGCAATTGGGCGATAGTTCGAAGCTTGATCTTTATCTCCTCCTTTATGCAGAGGAATAATTATTGCTGTCTTAAGGCAGTTTGGAAAAACTCCTTTTGGAATGACTCATTAATTAAAGTAGTAAGATAGATTAACGTGCATTCCGGAAGTTCAGAGAACATTTTGAGAGGAAGCCCATCAGTCCCAGATGAGAATTTATTTTTAATACTTTAATTGTACTACGGAGCTCATCTAATGCTACGGGCGTGAAGAAGAAACTGTGTAAATTCTCATTTGCTTTAGGGAGATATGAAAGTGAATCATGGGAAGGAGTTATGGTGTTCACTAAATTTTTAGCCACATTAACAAAGTAAGTGTTTAAATCTTCAGTTGAATTAAAGACTGTGCCAGACGAAGCAGTCTTATTCCTAAAGTCATTTACAATAGCCCAAGTCTCTTTAGCAACATTACCGGATTTGGCTAGCCATTATAATAAATCTCCTTGGCCGCTTTTATAGTCTTACGATAAACCCTTCCATAAAGTTTCACGCAATTATGAAAGAAAACGCTGTCTGTGAATTTTTTTAAGGTGAGATAATGAGCACATGTTCTTTGCAGATATACGCAAGCCTGTCGTAGACCAAGGTATACCTTGCTTACTTTTGATAGGCCTAAGAGGAAACGCCTTGCACGCCAGATTAGACAAGGTATTTATAAATCTAGAAAATTCGGAATCGACGTCAGGCGAGAGGACAACCCACTCAGTTGTTAGACATAGGTGGTGAAAATTTAGAAAATTTTTATCCGAAAAAATACGGCCCAATTTGCGCCAGATATTTTTGCATTTGGATTTTGGCAAAAACGTTGTCAATACTGCCTCATGATCAGAGAAACCTGAGTAAAGGACTCTACAGTCAACGAATTCCGGGTCAAAAGACGACACGACATAATCTATAGTATAGTAAACGCCACGAATGTTTGGGAGTGATTTATCACTTGATAAAGTTAGAATCGACACGTGCGCTATAATTTTTACATTAAAAACGTAAATTTTAACCGCAGACGTAGGTTTTTAAAGGCCCGGTCTAATCATCTGCCTGCGCTCCTCCTACTTATTCAAAAATGTTAGCATGATTGACAAAGACGATACTATATCGCGTTTCTTTGATTGATTCGTTTTTGTGCGTCAGTCCATTGGTGTGCTTGCAGTGCGACCAATGGGGCATTCCAGTTTATATTTATAACCAAATATAGGTTTTGACAAGACTTTGACAGTTAAAACAACAAATTACAACAGTTTATATATTGATTATTATATAACTTGAAACACCACGGCACTGGAATTAAGTTTTATGTGACCTTGAACAGATTAGTTCACATGGTAGCGACCGATGAATCACTCCCAAACATTCGTGGCGTTTACTATACTGGAACCAGTTTTAGTTATTCTAGTTGGTGAGTCAACATGCATGAGTATACCAAAAGAATGAAAAATGGACTGGAGAGACTCCCTAGCTGCACACACACTGAAAAAGTCAATTAGAGTCTGAGAAACTCCAAAAATATACACACAATTTTCAGGGGTAATGAATCCTGGATTTACTCTTATGAACCATAAAATAAACGTCAATCAGCTATTTGTGTGTTGAGATGAATCAAGATCAACAAACGGTATGCATTCCAAAAGTGTTTCCAAAAATATGGTGGCGACATTTGTCTCAACATTCCTCTGCAAGATCAATGAACTGTTACTGCTGATTGGTATATATCTATTTGTTTGCCGGAAGTAATTGCTGAGTTTCGAAAAACTAACCCTCCACAACGAATGATCCTCCACTAAGACAATGCAAGTTTCCACACAGCTCGAGAAACAATTGAGTTTTTAAAGCAAGAAAACATTCCAATGGTCGAACAGAATTGTTGGACCATCTTCTATACAGTCCCGACCTAAAGTCCTAACAACTTTTCTAAGTCTAAAATTAATAAAAATTAAGAATGAACTGGGTGCAAAATGTTCCAGTCCCCAGAAGATGCAGTCAGCGCCTTCAAAAAGGTATCTTTGATGGTACCACACTACTAAAATATAAACTGAAAAAAAAATAAAACTGAAAGAACAGATAGTCTCTGCGAAACAAAACATAAAAGAGGCTTCTTTTAATACAATCAAATATAAATTAATTCAGTACCTGAACAGTGGAAAAAAGCATATATCTCCTCTATATATAAAAAGGGCTCAAGGAAGGATCCCAATAACTACAGGGGAATTTCGGTCACCAGCACTATGAGTCGCCTCTATGGAAGGATACTGAGGAACTTAATCGAAGAGGAATACTCCAGCTACGAAGAAGAAGAGCAGAATGGTTTCAGAAGCGGAAGATCATGTACAGATAATATCTTTTGCATTGAAACAGATCATCGAGAAGAAATCTGCAATGAACCAGGAAGTTCATATAACATTCATCGATCTACAAAAAGCATATGATAGAGTGCCAATAATAAAATTATGGGAAGTATTGCACGAATCAAGAATTAACGCAGCTCTGATAAAAGCTGTACAAAATCTTTACCATGGAGGAAAATCACAAATAAAAACGGTCAACGGTCTCTCAGAGGAAATTTCTATCACTAAAGGGCTCCGACAGTGTTGCTGTATATCCCCAACACTATTTAAAATTTATATTACCAAGGCCTTATATCTATGGAAAAGAAAATGTAACGGAATGGGTATAGAACTAAATGACATATGCCTATACACCTTGCAATTTGCAGACGACCAGGCCATAATTGCAAACGACAAAGATGACATGGAATATATGGTGCGGAAAATAATTGAAGAATATGCTAAATGGGGTCTCACAGTAAATGCAGAAAAAACAAAATACCTTCCAATTGGAGCTAATACAGGAAATCTTATTTTAGACAATAATATGGAAATTAGGGCATGTGAAGATTACAGGTACCTGGGATCGATATTTACAGGAGATGGAACGGACGATAGAGAAATAAACAACAGAGTAATACAGGCACGAAGAGTTTTATCAGATGCGTAAATGGCATTCTATGGAGCACTGATATTACAAAAAACAGGAAATATAATATATACGAGACACTAGTTAAAAGCATATTACTCTATGGATGTGAAACATGGCGACTCACTGAAAGGAATAAAAGGAAATTAGAGACAACAGAAATGGGCGCGATTAGAAGAGCAATGAGAATTTCACGGAGGGATCAGATCAGAAATGAAGACATTAGACAACAGATGGGAATAGAGGGAACAATAGTAAACGATATAGAACAAAAACAATTAATATGGTACGGCCACCTTCAGAGAATGCACAATGAAAGAATTCCAAAACATTCAAGTCATTCATTGGATACCACCTGGTAAACGAAAGAGAGGACGTCCCAATAAAACATGGATGGAAGGAATAAGAAGGTCGATGAGCGAGAAAAATCTGACCGAAGATCAATGGGAGAATCGCACAGGGTGGAAGTTAGGCATCGGACAACGTCGTAGGACGTTCTGACCCGAATTTATTATTATTAAATATAAATTAATGTATTGCTCAGGCATCTGTAGATGTTAGTAATGTATGGCTATTACGCATCTTTAATTTGTCACACATAATATATAATATTATGTTCCCACCTCTAATTGATTTTCCTATAGAATATAAGGCAGTCAAGGACGGAAATCTGGCAGTGGTTTGACGTAAGAATCTGGTCATCTTGTCGAAATTGTGATACTTGTACTCGATCGTGTATTGTTCGCCATATTGAGGATCCACATTGGCGGCAGTATCCACTTGAAAGTCCCTCAAAGGGTAGTTCCGTAACTCTGGGTTGTCATTTGCCTGTCCTGCTATACCTTGTGAAGGAAGGCTTCCATCTAACTATCAAAATATGAATATATAACATGAAAAGTAAACAGTTAGGACAACCAATGTATAATTTACTTACTGCTATTCTTTTAATTCCAGGTTGGTTATCACTCAAGCCGTTCGATGATTCGCTGGGAAACACAATTGAGTCTTCTCCAACGCTAATTTTCGACGATAAATGGGCTTCATCTACACTGCTTCCAAATGCGATAGCTTGACATATCAAGAACGCCACATATTTCGTCACATATGTCATAGTACGTTCTCGATTAAATCTGAAAACAAAACAAATTATAATTAGATACTTAATAATGAGTAATAAGTGAATAGTATATTATTCAACGAGCATATAATGGTGACTCGCCTCAGCTCGCCTGCGGCTCGTGTCATGAACTTCATCCACGTGAATAACAGCCATTATATGCGAGTCTTTGATGCGAGTAGAATACTATACTTTATCCAGGACTATCAAAAAAATTTAGATAATCTACATATATAAAATGCTAATGTTTATCTGTGTCGTCTCTACTGAAGTAACAACTTGCTCTAGAAAGTTGCTTTTTTTACTAAAAGATAGCTAATTGGCTCTTCTAAAAACTGTCGTCGCCGGATTTTTTGTTTTTCATTTAATTAAACAAAAAATAAAAGGTTTTTTTCCTGATGTCGTGGCGGAGGCGCCAGGCTTCAACTAGTATTAATATAAATTTTTATTTTTAATGTCAAAAGAAAGAAGGAAAAAAAAGTATTGAACGAGTATAACGAGTAAGTAACATGAAAACAAAACATTAAAATTTTCTTTAACTAGCTAAAAAGCTAAATTAGTTAAAGCTAACTAATTTAGCTTTAACTAATTAAAACAAAACCAAGCCGCTTTGGATCGAGCATAGCTCTTGTTTGGAGTTTGGATCGAGATATCCGTTGAAACGGTGAATAATGAAACCATTATTCACTAGTGAATAATGAATATTATGATTATTTCATAAACTCTGAGAAATAGAGTTTATGAAAGAATTTATGAGAATAGAGTTTATGAAAGAATTTATGAGAAATAGAGTTTATGAGATATTTCTGAAACCAGAGAAATAGACGAAAGATATAAAAAGACTTAGGGAAAAAACACCTATAAAATTCATCAAAGAACTTCAATATGCTGATGACTGAGCTCTAGTTGCAAAAACGTTATAGCAATTATAAAAAATGCTGAACACATATACTTGAACATACGAGGCTCTGGGCCTTAAGCTAAACATCGATAAAACTAAAATCATATGCACTCCCCCTGAAAATCACAACAATGCTACAAAAATCGGAGAAAAACTTTTGGAATATATAGCGAAATTCAATTACGTTAGCAGTTTGATTTCGGAAAAGGCCGATATTGACTCTGAAATTCAGCACAGAATTAGCAGCGCCTCAAGAGCATTCTGAAAATTAAAAGACAAGGTTTTCTACAATCATGACTTGAGTACAAAAACGAAACTTGCAGTGTACTTAGCAATGATAATCCCCACTATGTTATATGGAAGCAAAACTTGGGTGCTGTACCGCCGGCACATGAACGCATTAAACATGTTGCAGAACTTTAGACACTCATCAAATGGTTCCACCATGTCCCAAACGTATCGGTCCTTGAAGAAGCAAGCTGCGAGAGTCGGAATTACTACATCTCGCTTGAGGTGGACTGGTCACGTATGCAGGATGCAAGAAAACCGCCTACCATAATCTCTTCTTTACTGCGAGCTTGCTGGACAACTCAAAAGGTACCAACGTTAGTACAAGGATGTTTTCCAAGAAAACTTAAAGGGGATAAGCATGCAGAATCGGTGGGAGCGCACAATAGAACGCAATTGAGAAGAATTGTAAACTCAGTTAACAACAACAACCATAAAGAAAGAGGCAACAAATTAATGATATTTTTGAATGTCATGTATCGGGCTTTTCAGACAGAGAAAAACTCATGAAAGAAAACACCCTGCGTGTTCCCAACTAGCAAATATCGTTCCCAGTCCTTTTTAGAATGTCACTGCCCCTAAAGTATAGTTCCTAGGCCCACTCTGCCACTTAAAATGTTACTCTATAAGGAATAGTCACTTTGAAGTATATTTCGAGGGTGACCGGTTAGTGCCTACTTACCATAAAAGTGGAAAATAAACACCCCGATTGCAAGTCGCAAACATGTAATTTAAAGAAGTGGCTGTTAATACCTGAATCTTCGAATATGACACCAAACCAAACCAAAAACTTTATAGTAACTTGTCAAAGTAGGGGTTACTAACAAGTGCTACAATAATGCCTACATTAAGTTTTGTTACTTTATAGTAACAATTTAAGTTACAGGGTAGTCGCGGCTACGACACCTAGTTATCTCTAATTTATAGTAGCATTGAAAGTAGCAAAATGGTTACTGCTACATTCCTACGTCACTATAAAGTAGCCGTCGCTCATCCATTGCCACTAAAAAGTCACGGGGATCAAAAACTTAATATAACCTAATATGTAATTAACTCAGATTGCATCGTGCGCTGCTCTGTTTTAGTGTTTTCTTTTACTTGCCACTAGGCTTTATTAAAATTTTGTAAAATTCTTAAGGTGAATAAAAAGATATATAAATTTAATGCCGTCTTATTCTGTTTTGAATTGGCATATTCACGCCCGTCGTCGCGTCGCCAAATGGGAATTTCAAAGGACAAGGCGGAACGTTATAGTTTATAGTGGTACCAATGGAATGTATAGTCGCCACCGCCGCACGGTGGGGTATTAGCATGAAAAAGGTGATCGAAATTCGAAAAAGCAAATGTGTTTAAGATTTCCAAAAAAAAAGATAAATGATAAGTTAAATCATGTCTGCCATGAATGGCGTTGCTATGGGTGTGTTTAGTTGCATTCATTTGTTTCAACGAAACGTCAAAGTTGTTACTTCTCACAGATAAGAGGTAAATGGCTAAATTTTATGTTTAAAATTATAAATTGTTGTTGTTCTTGTGCTCTTTTTACGTTTATATTATTGTTTTGATTGAAAATGGCTCAGCAAGCTGCAGGTATGTATTCTACAAAAACGTATTATTTATTTTGATATTCTCTATACTAACGATTTTTTTTGCAACTAACAGTTAGGCGTTCAGAAAATTTGATTAAATTTGTGACATTTTTATTATTACTTTGAGATTTAGTTGCGCATTTCGAAGAATTCGGCATATTGTGTATATACGTTTTACTTAGTAAACATTAGGCTTTCATACAGTAAAATAAAATACTGCGACTTTTTGCGACTTTGCTGATAAAATGAGAAAAACATTCTTGGTTTCCTCTAATATGCCAATCAGTGATATACTAATGCGAGGTGTAAACCGCGATGGCATTGTTGTGTACAAAGCGATCGCATTAGTGCCATTAGCAGTATAGCACAATTTGGCATTAGTAGCGACTTTAGTGGTATGGGCATTGCTCGCGGATCAGTCGTAGCATTAGTAGTATTAGTTGCGATATTACTACTGGCATTAGTGGCATTGACCGTGGAAACACTGGAACAGTGATTTTTCTCTCTTTTTTTAGAATCGACGAATTATCCTTTATTTTGTTCATATTATTTCCTCTTTAATTGAAAATAGCAATAATTTATATAAGGTCTACATAAAAAAATTTCGATCAACTATCTGTGTCAAATACCCCACTGTGCGCCGCCATCGGTGTAGCATAACGCTCCAATTAAGTGGCAATTTGGTGGCGCAGGGAACTTTCTTGGAAAAAATCACTTTATGGTTCCAAAGAAAATCCAGTTCCAAATTGTTGACCATGTAGTTCAACAAAAGTTATTGTTTCTAGAAAGTCGCCTTTGGGTAGCTACAATTGTCACTTTATCAATCCAAAGATTTTAAAGGTCCAAACGGGTAGGGTTGGCCTAATATGTTATTGTTCTATATTTTAAAATCTAATATTTTAAAATTTGACCCCAGTTTCAAGCAAATTATTATTATTATTTTTTAATTACTACATGAGTATCTATTGCAAATAATAGGTATAATAATTTGAAATATTTTGAGATGCGCTCGAAAATTTTGTCATATAAACCCACTATTTTATTCAGTAAAGTCGATTGCGTTCTGGAATTTACCTAAAAAAGGCGTTAAAATCGCACGGTAAACAACGAAAAAATAATAATCATAACATTTATTTTTATGAAATGTGAAATTGCATGAAGAGGTCGCTGCGAATAAAGTAACAATTTAACGAAAGTTCCACATGTCGGTGGATAACACTTGGCTGCCACGAACCCGCGACTAGGCAGCTTCGTAACAGATAAGTCGCATTCATCAGCAGGCTACTTTATAGTAACACATCATAGTAACTCTTTTAGTGGCAAAAACTACCCAAGACACTATCCGGCTACTCAAAATCTTTCCCCATTTTGGTCGCAGTTACTTAGCAGCTACGAATATACGACGTAGCCGCCGATTGTCACCGCCCACTTTGTGGTGGCTTTTGATAGTTGCAGTTACCTATCTGCCACTATAAATGCTAGTTGGGTCTGATGCGTGTTCAAATGCTCTTCAGCGAGTAATGACAGTAAGTAAGTAATTAGGTAACTATATCATCAGATGGAAATTGTTAATTTGAAGTTTGATTTTCTGTAATGTCAGTTTAATCAGAACATCAACTGTTAAATTTGTTAAAATCTGTATCCCTTCTGATAAAGGGAGGTCGATATAACCCATAAGCGTTTTTTGTTGTTTTAATATGTAAAGTGTGAACGTGTGTGTGGATTAATTTTAATTGTATTTGTCTGATGATGCTCGTATGAGCGAAACACGTGTTACTGTTTAACAATATATAAATGTTGAGACCGAAACTTTGAGTCTTTTTTCTACTTTTTTTAAATTTTTATGAGTAAAACACCACTGATAATCTGGTTTCCTTCGGATTCAAAGCAATGTCATTTTACAAAAAAAATACTATTTTATTTTTTAGATCTGTTTCAGTTGCAAAACACTCTTGTTTTTGAATTTGACTATTATTTCGCATACAAGAGGAAATAGGAGGTAATTAAAGAACGAGTCAAAATCATTGCTAGTCGTACACGAGTCACCTGTTTCGTTCAAAATTTAATACAAAACAAATTAATATGATACCCGGTTTAACCGGATATGTTGGAATATAGTCACGTCGAGCTATCCGTTCGTTTTTCAGCAAAAGAAAGAATAGAAAGCGCCTACGACCGCTGTATTTACCGTTTCAGCTGAATTTTTCCAGCCTTGACCCACAATCTTTCGCTTGTCGGC